TGAGCCACCTTCCCAGCCCTTTGTTTTTGTTTTTGTTTGTTTTGTTTTTACAATTTGCACTAGTAAGAACTAACTTGGACCTACAAGAACTATGTCCATCCCATCTGAGAGCATGCCCAATGACCCTAAGAGTCTTGAAAGAGGCCTTGTGTCGTTAATGTTCCCTCATTGAACATCACCATACTGGGGATCCAGCTTCTAACATATGAACACTTTCAGAACAAAACCCACCTAAATCATAGCCCCCTTTAATAAAGCAAAGAAGTAATAGAATGTATTCCTTCTCTTTGACAGCCAGAGATGCTGTGTTTCTCTCCCAACCTCCTGTCCTATAATAAGAAGAAGCAAATTTCATTCTTCTGTGTATAATCTTAACCAAAGGCCAAAAGCAATCATTTCCTAAGTCTTTCATGATGTATCAATTGACTTAGTGACCATGTTTATTCTAAATTCTACGAAGGTAGTACTTGTATATTACTCATTGCTTGTAAATTTGTGTTAATCGGGTTTCTCCAGAGAAATAGAACCAATAGAATGTAGATAGAATTGTAGGAAGGGATCTATTGGGTTGACTCACATGACCGGCTGTATGGTCCCACAATGGCAGACTAGAGAGGGGGAACCAGTAGCTGTTCCTTCCAGCTGGAAGCCTTAGGTCAAAACAGCCCTTGCTACAGCATGGAAGCCCATAGGAGAGTCTCTGTGGGTTTCCCTTCCAAGGCCCAAAACTTTGGAACCACATCTGGTAGGAAAACGCATACACTCAACAACTACACCTCCTCACATGGAAGACTCCCTTTCCTTCTGCTGTAGTTTTCCTTTTGTGCCAGTTCTGGGGCTTGAACTAAGAGCCTAGCTATGTTCCTTTCCTATGTTGTTGTTTGTTTGTCTGTTGTTTGTTTGTTTGTTTTTTGTTTTGGGGGTTTTGGTTTTTGCTCATAGCTAATACTCTGCCACTTGAGCCACAGCTCACTTCTGACTTTTTGGAAGTTAAGTGGAGATTGGAATCTCAAGGGCTTTCCTGCCCAGACTGGCTTGGAACTCAGATCTCAGCCACCTGAGTAGCTAGGATTATACATAGGAGATGTTGGTGTCTGGCTTTCTTCTGCTCTTTGCTCCCTTAGGGCTCCTGGCATATTGGAGTGCCATTCACATTTTGTGGGTCTCCCCCTCAGTTCATTGACTGAGATGCCACTTGTCTCAGGACCACCTCACCCCCCCCCCCCACACACACACAGATAGACCCAGAAGTGTACTGTCCCATTGTCTTTAGTGCCTTTCAGTCCAATCAAGTTAACAATCAAGATGAGCTGTTACAATTTCCAAGGATATTCTTGAGTGTTTCTTTCTTTCTTTTGACTCTTTTACCCTTGAAAGTAGAATATTTCCTACTCATAGCTAGACAGCATTTCTAAAACTTCTCTTGAAAGTGATTGCTTGAAATTTGTGATAAAGGCTCTTGTAGCATACTCCAAAGTGCAGAGATTAGCTCTCTGTGTGTGTCTGTGTCGGTGTATCTGTGCACATACATATGTGCTGGTCCTTGGGCTTGAACACAGGATGTGGGCACTCTCCCTGAACTTTTATTGCACAAGGTTAGTGCTCTACCACTAAAGCCACAGCTTTCTACTTCTGAACAATGTTTTTTTCTTTCTTTCCAGATAATGAGTACATTTTTGGGTATGTGGAAAGTGTCACTTCCTTCACTTTCTCCCAGTTTCTAACCATGCTCATTTTTCTTCTTCTTCTTTTTAAATTGTAAAGATACTGTAAGAGGGGTTACGGTTACATGAGTAAGGTAATGAATATAGTTCCTATCAACATTCTTACTCCCTTCTTTGATTTTTCCTCTACAATCCCTTCCCTCCCCACCTCCCAACTCCTCCTCCCCATCCCCAAGTTGTAAAGTGTCTTGTAACATAGTGTCTTGTAAGTCTCATTGTTGCATTGGGTCAACCTGTATGACCTTATAAAATAATGCTAAGCGAAATGAACCCCAAGGTAGGGACACAAGAAGTTTTTTCTTTCTTGCTGTTGTTTTTAATGTACTTATAATATACTATGTGGGGTTTTTTGTTTCTTTTTTATGTTCTTCCCCCACAGTATAACCCCTGTTGTCACACTGTTGATTCCGGTGCCCTGCATCTTGTATATACATTTTTCTAATTCGGGGAAGGGAAGGGAAATAACATAATGCTGAAACAAGCTCACTTTTATTGTAAAAAATATTTTTGAGATATTTTTGAACTTTTGCCTATGGAAATCTGAGCTACTGAGTTCATCATCTCCCTGCACTCAAGTGATCTTTTTGCATCCAGAATAGCTGGGACTACAGCTATTTCCACCTTCAACTGACTGTGAATAACTTAAGCCTGCAATTGAGAATAATATGCCAACAATAATATGCTCTCTACCAGCATTATCAAATCTTAACATTATGTTATTTTTCCAAGTTATTATTTTTTTTTGGTGGTCATGGAACTTGAACACAAGGCCTGAGCTTTTTTACTTAAGGCTAATTCTTTACCACATTGAGTCACAGCTTCACTTCTGATTTTCTTGTTAATTGGAGATAAGAGTGTCACAGACATTCTTAACCTCAGACTGGCTTTGAACTGTGATCCTCAGATCTCAGCCTCCTGAGTGGCTATGATTAGAGGTGTGAGCCACCAGCATCCAGTTTTCAAGTTAATTTTTTTTTAGTAGTAAGGGTTTTTTTTTTTATTGTGAAAATACCGTACGGAGGGGTTACAATTACATGAGCAAGGTAATGAGTACATTTCTTATCAAGCATTGTTGCCTCCTCCTTTGTTTCCCCTTACCATCCTTGCCTTCCCATCTCACCCCCCTTCCCCTCCCCTGCCAAAGTTGTAAAGTTCATTTCCCACATAACATCTTGTACATCTCATTGTTGCAATGGGTTCACCTGTATCCCTATTTAAACAATTTGTTTTTTCCCTTCCCCTCCACAAAGTATACCAACATCAAATTCATGAAATAACAGAACCAAGTGCTACAGAGATGTTTCTGCTTAGAACCTAAATGAATGGAAAACAAAAACATAGCCCTAACTTCGGGGCTGTTGCAATTCTCCCTGTTAGTGCTCTGTAATTCTGAGAGAGGCTTTAGGGTTGAGTTTAAGGCGGGAGCTGAGGACACGAGAGCTTGCAGGTGTTAGTGCAAGTGTGTACACAATGTGCTCATGAATTTGCTGGTTCTGAGCATAGTACAGGGCGCCCGTTTCTGGGATCACACACTTTTGATGTGGGTCTACCACAAAGATTGCAGCAGAACTGGCTTTGCCAGGGAGTGAGGGAAAGGGTTCCATGTAACAACTTACATCAGCCATAGTAATATGATATACAAAGTTTAAGAGTGAAGCCATCTTAAAATGATTCAGATCCTACATTTTCTTTGCTAAAATTTATCTAGTCTTGAGTGACAGAATTACTATATTTTTTAGTCAATTACTTTTTCCACTTATAGTTCCCTCTCTTAGGAGACTTTATTGTTGCTCTTTCAGATTCTTCAGAGCCATGCAGTTACTCATTTTTACACCCCCATTCTATTATTTTTGTCACTCAGTGTGGCCAGTACAATGCCACCCGGAAGCTGGTTAGCAAGACTAGATACAGGGGACCTTTTCCATATCACCTAACTCAAAATGTTTTAGCAAGATTCCCAAGTGATTGCAGGTTAAAATTTGAGAGGCATGGGTCTATCAGCATGCACACTCTCAAGTTTTTATACTGCAAATAGTGTAAATGGGTTAGGTAAATCGTCTTATTTTTGATTCACTACTGTAAATTGGCTCTGAAATGCCTACTCTGAGAAATGTACTTGTCCAAACTCAACAAACAGACTCAGAGGCAAGAAGTGCAGCAAAAGCAAGACTTCAGTGTTGCTCTGGCAAGGACACATGTCTGTGGGATGGCAGGAGCCCTCTCTGAGATTACAACAAGCAATTTTATACCTGTTGTGTGGGGCTCCTTCTCCTAGATCCTCATTCATCTGATTAGTATGTGTTTCACATTCTCTCCCCAGACATTGTCTAAGTTACATTCCTTTTTTTTTCTGGGTCATGTGGCTTTAACTCTGGGCTTGGGTGCTGTCCTTGTGCTCTTCAGCTCAAGGCCAGTGCTCTACCGCTTGAGCCACAGCGCCACTTCCGGTTTTCTGGTGGTTTATTGGAGATAAGAGTCTCTCGGACTTTCCTGCCTGGGCTGGCTTTGAACCGTGATCCTCAGATCTCAGCCTCCTGAGTAGTTAGTATTACAGGAGTAAGCCACCGGTGCCTTTTATTGGGTAATTTGAATCCATGTACTTTTTGTGGTGGGAGTTTTTCTGGATATGTCCTTTCTAGTATGTACACAGTACTCATTCTCTCTCTCTCTCTCTCTCTCTCTCTCTCTCTCTCTCTCTCTGAGGTCCATTCTTCCCTTTGTTAATTGACCCCTCCCCTTCTAATCCTTTCTGTTTCATGGATGGGGCTTTCCAGTGCATGAACTTTGTCATATTTGCAAGTCACTGTGCAAGCAAGATACTGATAATTTTCAACTTTGAATCAAATTCCTTGTCATGCAAAATGGACCACTGCAGATGTTATTTCTAACATCTAAATAATATATAAATATATATGCTTCTGTCATGTCCTTTACAACTTTCATGTTTGATAGAGCCTAGTGATATAGGTCATTGATAATCAGATTTTGTGTGTGTGTGTGTGTGCATGTGTAAGTGCCAGTTCTGGGATATGAACTAAAGACTTGGGCACTGTCCTTTAGCTTTTCCACTCCAAGCTGGTGCCACAGCTCCACTTCGGGCTTCTGGGGAGGTGAATTGGAGATAAGGAGACTGATGGAATTTTCTGCCCAGATTGTCTTGGAACCGCAATCTTCAGATCTCAGACTTCTGAGTGGCTATGATTGATTACAGGCTTAAGCCACCTGTACCCAGCTAATAATCAGAAGTTTAGACCAACTCTCTCCTTTCTTTCGCAGGTACAGTCATTTCCTTAAAGCCATTGCATCACTGTTCCATTGGCCTTTGGACTTGAGTTATGTCAACAGCCGCCTTGATTACTTTGGTCAGAAGAGGCGGGGACCAGGTGAGGAGGAGAGTGTTGCTAAGCTCCCGTCTGCTGCAGGAGGACAGGCGGGTGACCCCCGCGTGCCCCAGCTCCACCTCCGAGCCCAGATATTCTCGCTTTGATTCCGACGGGAGTGGGCGGCCAGCCACCTGGGACAATTTTGGGATCTGGGATAACCGCATCGATGAGCCAATCCTGCTGCCACCCAGCATTAAGTATGGCAAGCCAATTCCCAAAATCAGCCTGGAAAACGTGGGCTGTGCCTCCCACATTGGCAAAAGGAAAGAAAATGAAGATCGCTTCGGCTTGGCTGAGCTGACAGAGGAGATCCTGTATTTCGCGGTTTATGACGGACACGGGGGACCCGCGGCGGCCGATTTCTGCCACACCCACATGCAGACATGTGTTAGGTATGTTCCGTGACGTCACCTGTGGACTTAGCCATTCCCCTGTGCTTCTTGTTAAAATGTTCTCCCTTTGCCTGAGACCATCCAGTATAAACTGAGTGAGTTTGAGTGTCCTATCAGGACCACTTCGTCCATGAGCTGTATAGCAAGCCCGCCTCTCCTTTACCTCATTGGATAAATGAACTCGGGGATTTAGGTTAATATGAGCACAAGACGTTGGCTTTTATTTCTTGTTCTGCTGAGAACTCGAAATCACCATTAAATAACACTGAGACCTATCCCCATCCAGACTTTGGTTTATATTTCTCTAAAAGGGTTCAGGTAGGCACCAGTGGCTCACACCTGTAATGCTAGCTACTCAAGAGGCCAAGGTCTGAGGATTGAGGTTCGAAGCCAACCCAGGCAGAATAAACTACTCAGCAAAAGCCAGAAGTGGCGCTGTGGCTCAAGTGGTGGAGTGCTAGGTGTGAGCACAAAGAGGCTCAGGGACAGCACCCGGGCCCTGAGTTCAAGCCCCAGGATAGAAAAAAAAAATTAAAAACCAAACTTCACAGCTTAACAATGTATCTGATACACCTTAGATACTTGCCAAACCCTCCTTAACCAGTGAGTCCTGAGCATAAAACATCTTAAGGGACAATCAGGAGGTATATTGTATGCAGTGACTCTCTGTTGTGAAGTAACTGGGGCTCTCTCCTCTCTACAAAGGGATTTGCTTTCTAAGGAGAAGAACTTGGAAGCCGTGCTGACCTTGGCTTTTCTAGAAATAGATAAAGCCTTTGCCAGTCAAGCCCAGCTCTCTGCAGATGGTATGTAAAACAAACATACTCCTTATTGCTTTGGCTAGGAGTGGGGGTGGTGGTGAAGAAGAAATGATTTTGGCCTTTGGGGTGGGAATTTTGATGCTAGCTATTTGTAAGGAAGCTTATACATAAATGACTTTACATTAAAAAATCATTTGAAATGTTGTTTGCAATCCATGCTAATGGCCAAACGTAACTTTTATATGAAATAAGAATCTTTCAGAAAGGAAGGTCCAAAATGGTTCTGTTAAGAAGATAATAAAATGTTTTGATCTGTTTTATGGACAAGATGAGAATTTGTAAGAATTCCTCATCTAACTGGGATGGCAATTCTTCAGATAAGGAAAAACAAAGAGATCCTAAGTAGGAAAGAAAGTAGCTAATGTAAGCTAATTTGAATAACTAGAAGAAAGATATTTTCTCCCATTTCTTAAAAGAGCTGGGTCTTTCAGCTTTCCTGTCCTATGGTATTTTGGTGTTTGTTAAATACAAAGGCATGTCAGCTGGATCTAAAAATTTGTGTACTGTGTCTTTAATTTTCAAAGTAAAATGTTTCTGATTTTGACTAAGTTCGTGCCTCACAACTGATTTAGAAAAAATTTCACAGGATCATTCACCTTCATTCATTTCACACTTTTCTTAAAAAGAGATATGCACCAGGGATATGCCATTCCCAGCTGCAATCAAAGCCTCTCCATTTCACAGATTCACAGATAAGTTCAGAGTAGGACTGGATTTTTCCTGGCATGCCAGCAGCCTCTCTCACTTGCATACTTAATAAGGAGGTTTTTTGGTGACCCTGGAATGGAGTTATTGGATATCTTCGAAGGTATTTCCTGCTCCCCCCAACCTGAACCTTGAGCTTGCAATGTAAGCAGGCTGTATCATCTATTCTCACTTTGCTCAGAGATTTTTAGTTTGTATGTTTTCTTTTTACTCCATTTATTTTCTCTTTCCATTTGTAGAACCCTCTTTCCTCCTATACAGGTGGCTGTCCTTTCCTCGACTTTAAGATAGGAGTTGAAGGAAAGTGAAATTTATGATAAGATTTAGCTTTTGTTCCTAGTGAGTAATACACAGGAAGGGGAGGAAAGAAAACACTTCCTTTAAGGATTTTGTTTTCTTTACTATGATTTTGGCTGCATCACAGACAATATTTCAGGCTCTAGTGCTGGTGATATGCTCTGACTGCTCTGACTGCTCTGTGAACAACTGCAACTTAGTGGGCAAGCTTTATAGAACAGAGTGTTGAAGAGCACTGGCTCTGAACAGCCCTTCATGAATGCAGTCAGCCTTTTAGAAAATAATGTAACCAATATAGAGGCTTTAAACCATTGGTAGATTTAGTGTGAAATTTCTGAGGACTCCTCTTGTCTATTAAATAATTAGAATTAAGGACATTTTGAACTTAGAACCTTTAACTGGAACTCTTAAGCTTTTTACAGATGACTTTGTCTTGTAACTCACATGTATAAAAATGAATCATAAAGCACAATTCATTCCTAAGAATGAAATTAAAATATATTGTTTAGTTTAGCTCCTCTGCCATGCTCTGAGGTAATGAATTATCCAAGAACATTCATCGGGATAGCATAAAATTTATTTTTCTTTGATTGGCCATTTGCTTGAAAATAGAAGGGAGCAAAATTGAATGCTGATGGTTGTGTGCTACTTAAAAATGACATTATCATCATTAATTACTATTCTTGTAGTTTGTGCTTTTGTAAATCAGTATTTTGAGAACATTTAGATAATTCGTTCTAAACAAGTTGCCAAATCTTTCAAAGATGGCACCAAGTGCCTGTCAATATTGATAGTGACTATTTAGAAACAGTAAAGCCACTAAAGAATGTTATAATCTATAATTTATAGATTAAAGAAGCAAACCTATGTCATTTCATATTTCAAAGTCATTTAAAACTTTTTCAAAGTTTGTAGCAAGACCTGAAGCAATATCAGCATTGTAAGACTGGCTCTAATTTTGGAGGGTGCCGTAAGCACACAAGTACATTGCCTCTGGAGAAGCGGCTCTAGCAAGGGGAAATGCTGAGCAGCATGGTTTGCCCTCTCCAGTTGCCCTAATCTTTCTCTTTTTTGGTATCAGTCCCATTTCATTCCCCTTAAATCCTTTTTGTGAAGTCAGAGATTAGGGCTTATAGGTCTTCTCTTTCTGTAGGTGCTGCAAAGTGAACCCAGGGCTCACACATGCTAGGCCAGTGCTCTGGTGCTGAGCTACCCCCACATTCCTTTTTGTCACCATTTTTTAATTTCTTAATATTCAGTTTATACCAATAATGTGAGCTTTTACATTTTACATGAAAACAACTGGTGAATTAAAAGGATCTTCCATCACTATGCTGTTTGCAAAGTCACTGAAAACAAATTAGGCAACAGAAAACTTATGTCTTCCTTTATAGCCTTCAATCCCTGTGTTCCCCAACATGTTTCTTTGAAAGCAACAAAGGTCCACAAGGACAAGTGGCTCAAAAGAGAAGACTGCCCAGGAAGAACAGGTGTTATTGGTCACTGTTGTGAGCCTACCATCTCTTTCTTCCCTCGCTCCCTCTGTCCCTCCCTTCCTTCCTCCCTCCCTTCCTTCCTTTCTTCCTTTCTTCCTTCCTTCTCTCTTTTTCCCTCTTCCTTCCTTCCCTACTCTCTTCTTCCCTCACCTTCCTGCTTCTCCATTCTTCTATCCTCCCCTCCTTCTCTTCCTCCTCCTCCTTTCTCCTTTCCCTTTTCTCTCCTTCCTTCCTTCCTCCCTTCCTCCTCCTCTCTATCCCTCCCTTCCTTCCTCTCCTCCCTCTCCTCCTCCCCTCCTGCTTTTCCTCCTTTCCTCCCTCCTTCCTTCACTCCCTCCCTCCCTCCCTCCCTTCCTGCCTTCCTTCTTTCCTTCCTTCCTTCCTTCCTTCCTTCCTTTCTTCCTTTCCTTCCTTCCTTCCTTCCTTCCTTCCTTCCTTCCTTCCTTCTCTCCCTTGTTCCTTTTTCTCTGTGCTGAGATCAAATCTAGGCAAGTGCTCTGCCATTGAACTATATCTCCATCCCTGTGTAATTTTTGTTGACAGTAACTCAGGTCCTCAGTCTCTACCAGTTAAGTTATGCCTCCTGCCCCTATGCAACATTTTTTGAAAAATTCCTTTCTTAGGGTAGAGACCACTGAGTTGGGGCTGGAGAATCAGGACAGGTTTAAAGAGTTGTTCTTATTGTGCTGCTACTGCTTCAGTTCATTACTTCAGTTTTGGTGTTCACACGTCACACATGTCTAGAACACCCATTTTGAATAAGTGCCAAAATGATATAGGTTTATATGTACTGTGATTTACATGGTTAAATAAATTACTGGGGGTTGTTAGAATTTGAAAAGTACAGCTTATACTCGTTATGGTGCTATTCAAGACTGTGATGATTTTTCTTCTGTTATGTTGACCTGCAACACCAGGGAGAGGAGAGAGCTGCAGAAATACCCCTTTAATGAATTATATTACATTGTAAATGTGTTAGAGCACATTGCCTGTGTTTATTTAAACAATAAACTTAATCATTCTACTAAAAACCACTGCTTCTGGATACAAATCCCACCATGACACACATTAACAAAAACAATGAATACTGTGTCTGGTATAGAAATTGTTTTGTCTTCTCTTCAAACATATTTAAGTACCAGTAGTTTGGTGGTATAGTGTAGTTCACATCCTATGAACTGTTGTCAGATACAAATCATTCAATGCTTTAAGCCATGGACTTACCCTTTTGTTTGATATTATTACCATCCAGATTTGTAGTGTGGTTTTCCTAACACAGACACAGTAATTATTTACTGTGTTCAAGATCATATACTGTCTATTTAAGGTGTGTGAGTATGTGTGTGTATGTATGTGTTTGTGTGTGTGTTTGTGTGTGTTAGTACAGACACATTTGTACATAGTCTTTTCCTACCTAGAAACTGTAAGAGTCAAAAGAGAAATGTGAGTCTGGAATTAAAGCACTAGACTAACTACAAAATACCATCAACTTCAGCCAGTTGAAATTTTAGAGTCATGGATTTGGCATCTCCTGAAATATTAGGTAATTTTCTAGTAAAACTTTCATCAAAATAAAAACCCTTCCCCCTTATTTTGCAGCTCTTTCTCTGCCCTCCCCTGTGTTGCAGGTTTGTTATGTTTGAGCACAATTCCTGGGTGAATTTCCTATTTGCCTCTGTGCGTGTTATTTGTGGCAGAGAACTGTGCCTGCTCAGCAGCTCTAGACCTGGAGCCCGTGGACACTATATGCTGGGCTTCAGTGGAAAGAGAGATCTGCTTAATTTTGTCTCAGGTGAAGGAGTCCAGCGGTTCCTAGCCTGGACTACGGGAAGGTTCCCACATCCTCTTTGTCCCATTAGTTGAGATGACTTGGCAGTAGAAAATTGTCCAGTGAGTGTTAAGAACTTATTGAAAGATGTCTTAGTTTTATAGTTTTGTTGTTAGGGAAAAAAGTGAGAATTTTTACTTCCACGTTAAATGTTAAATGAAAAGAAATGCTGATTTACTATTTATATTTTTAGATGCTTAGCAACCCAAAATCAACAGTTAGTTTTGAGATTTTTCCCCATAAACTCTGGGATTTTGGAACTGTTAGGGTGATTTTAAAAAAGTGAAGATCTATTACATTTCTATGTGACAGAGACATGAAATACAACCAAAACAATAAAACTTTTATTTAGAAAATTTTAACTTTTGTCACAGCCAATTTAAAGGCCACTTTAGAAAAAAAATCTGAAACAAAAGATGCGTGCCAAATTTCCTGGACAGGCTAGAAGTCTGAGTTCACTAGCTTCACTCTTGAAATTATTTGGCAATTAAATGGTTAGATGATTAACCTGAAAAGCTTCCAATCTTGTATTTGGCTCTGGCTAATCATAAATAGAAGTTAGTATGTTGTGGTACACAATGTCAAATGTATATTTTTAGCTAACAGTGAAAATGTTAATTTGACACAGCAGTTCCAAAATCAAGAGATATAAATGGGGAGACAATGCCACTAACAATGCTATTTGTCAATAAAGTAAATTCAGCATGACTATGAGATTAGCATTTATTCATGCTTTCTTTTATACTTTTCTAATTAAAGCAGGCATTGTAATAAACTGATTGGAAATACCAGTTTCTGTATCTCCTTTCAAAATGTGGTACTGATATTTTTTTAATTTAGTTTTTTGAAAAGAAAAATTGTTGGAAAGATTATGTTTCAATCAATTAAATCAATCAATTAAACATTGACTTTAAAGTCAAAAAATCTATTGATTAGAGTTTTAGAAATTTACCTGAACCATAATCAGTTTGGGAAGTTACCTAAAAATTGTATTTAAATGTTTTCAGAAATTGACAATGTTGAGTAAGATGGTGTGTGCCTGTAATCCCAGCACTTGGGAGACTGAGGCAGGGGACACTGGCTCAAGGCTAGCTTGGCTACATAGGGAGACACTGTCTTTAATTTTAGAAAAGACAAAAAGGAGATCAACATTGTTACTAGAGATAATACCTGCTTTAAGTTATCTTTTCTATATTTTCCACTTTCCTGTATTTTTTTTCTAACTCATAATTTTACAAGATGCTCAGGTTGGCAAGGCTCAATGCACCTTAAAATTTTTTAATAAGTAGTAAAGACATTAAGGCACATAAGTCCAAAGAAGATGCAAAACTGTAGTTTTACTGGTATGGATAAAATGTTGGTGACCTGTGTCTATTACTTGATGATCATCAGAGAATATCAATATTTTTGCAATGTCCTGGGCCCAGGCACATGGCAATGCTGACCCACATTTATTTGCCTACACACTTGGTATTAACTATATCAAGCTTATGAGAAACTAGAATGAATTTCATTTCCTGTCTCCCAAATACTCTGCTGACGTAATGATAGCTAGAGCTTTGTTTCGTAGCTAGGAAAAACAAAGAAAAACCAGAAAAGACTGGGCCTACTTTTTTAGGATTCCCCTTCTGACGATTGTTGAAGGAAAGAATAAATAGTTTACCCTTGTTATGTCTCACTCAGCCTGATAACTGATAGGACTTTGACAGGATAGAAGAAATGGAAGAAGAAAACTAAAATCCCACAAATGGAGAAAAGTCAGTTTCCATAAATGGGCTCAGCTGACCCAGGCAAAATAGCCAATGCTAAAAAAAAATCTCAGTACTTTTTATTCATTTTGCTACCTGATATACACAAAAGGTGTCATAATTATAATGATGTGAATGGAGAACTTTGGAGACAGCACTGCATTGTCCACATTAGGTCAGCAACCTTTGCATGGAGCCTTGTTACTGAGTCAAAAAGTTGTGTTTTGTTTTGTTCTTATTCCTGCATGTTCTTATTTACATAGTTAATTTGCATTTTATTTGCATAGCAGTAGTTAAATTAGAATGGTACAGCCCAGCATTAGTTTATCGTGCTTGTCTATTGTTTTGTAATAAAATTTCCATATCCAATCACCTGACTGTCACTAACAGTCATTCTGTTTTTATGATGTTTGTAGCGACCCTTCTGACCTCCGGGACTACTGCTACAGTAGCCCTGTTGCGAGATGGTATTGAACTGGTTGTAGCCAGTGTTGGGGACAGCCGAGCTCTTTTGTGTAGAAAAGGAAAACCTATGAAGCTGACCATTGACCATACTCCAGAGAGAAAAGATGAAAAAGAAAGGTACTGCCAGCCTGGGCCCTGTCATTCTGTGGGGTGATGTTGATAGATCAAGACAGAAATGAAATTTTGCATTTTCCCTCATCATGTTAAAGATCAAACCTGTGGCCTTGCATGTCCCCAAATTTGTTTGGTGGTTGTTGTTGAAACTGAGTCTCGGTGGCCTAGAACCTTTAATCTTCCTGCTTTAGTTTACCGAGATTATGGGACTATACTACCATGCCCAGTCTAAATTTTGAAGTGTAACAGTGACTTGGTTTCTCTACATGTTGTGTCTTTAGTCTTTGAACTTTTTCTTGCCTAGGATTAAGAAGTGTGGAGGCTTTGTGGCATGGAATAGTTTGGGACAGCCTCATGTGAATGGCAGGCTTGCGATGACAAGGAGCATTGGAGACTTGGATCTTAAAGCCAGTGGTGTGATTGCAGAGCCTGAAACAAAGAGAATCAAGGTAAAAAAGGACTGGGAAACTCTTGACACGTTCACAGAGAGTGAAGGTAGGCTTCTCTCCAGTTACAGGATTTCTTAAAAGACTTGGGACAGTGTTTCATTATGTATCCCAGCCTGGCCCCAACTCACAATCCTTCTGCCTTAGCCTCCTAGATTAGACGTTAGGATTACAGATGTGTACCATCATGCCGAGTCTTAAAAGATTTAAATGAAGCTAATATGATTTATGGAAGAATATGCTTGTTTTTCTTGTTATTTTTATTTTTGGTACTGGAACTTGAACTCAGCACCTTGCACTCTCACTAGGCTTTGTTTCTCAAGGCTGGCCCTCTACCACTCAACCTTTTCTGTGTAGGCTGGCTTCAAACTGTGATCCTCAGATCTCAGCCTCAAGAATTATAGGCATGAGCTACCAGTTCCTGGCAGTAAGAATAAACTTTCAGGTTGAAATAGGATTCTGTTCTCCTGGTTGGATTATTTCCTGGCTTTATTTCCCTCCTGTTGTGTGATCCCCTGGAGATGATGGTCCTGCTGTCCTTCCTTTCTTGGACCAGATCCTTCAGTGTTAACATGGTTTCCTTCCTCACCAGGCCAAATAGTTGCTCCCTCTCTTTCTGCAACATAGTGGCCCATTGCACTTGACCCATAGCACTCCTCTTGTTCATGATCAGATACTTCCTTTTCCGAACCCTTTGAGCCAGCCATAGCACCTGCCATTGCAGTACAGCCTTCCAGACACTTCAGGAAATGTTATGTCATTATCTGCATGGATGGTTTCATGTCTTTATGAAACCATCGTCACTTCTATTCATCGTGAGAACACTAACATGGGTTTTGCTCTATGGCGCATTCTGTTCAAAGATCAAAAAGAGGCTTCTAGCCATGTGTAACAAGGCATAAAGATGCCTGTATTTCTAAGCACTAAATGTTGAGCCAGGCACCAACAGATCATGCCTATGAATCCTAGCTTCAGAAAGCTGAGATGAGATCTGAAGATTATGGTTCAAAGCCAGCCTAGGCAGAAAAGTCCATGAGACTCTTATCTGCAATTAACCAGCAAAAAGTCAGGAGTAGATCTGTGGCTCAAGAGGTAGACCACCAACCTCAACAAAAATGATAAAGGAGGGCTGGCAAGGTGGCTCGGTGGTAGAGTGCTCCCCTTGCATGCATGAGGCCTTGGGTTCGATTCCTCAGCACCATATAAGCTGAAAAGCCAGAAGTGGTGCTGTGGCTCAAGTGATAAGAGTGCTAGTCTTGAGTTGAAGAGACAGTGCCCAGGCCAAGATTTCAAGCCCCATGCCACCAAAAATATAATGATAAAGGATATGACCTTGACCCTGAGTTGAAACCCTAGAACCAGCACACACACACACACACACACACACACACACACAGTGTTCAACCAACTGAATAACAGAGGCAGGAATCAAGCTCAGATTATCTCAGCCAATAGGATCTAGCCTCTTCCTTTATTTTGTGATTATGTAAAAGCTTAGTTTATCCTGGGAAGTGGTGGGTGTTGCATTTGCATTGTTTGCGTATTCACTCTTGCACAAATGACCATTCAGCCCAACAAAGAACATCTTAGAATGATCAAGATCACTCTAAAACCGAGTCTAGTTTCTAATCCTATGCTCTGGACTGATTACAGCTCCATCATGCTGAGGACAGCTTCCTGGTCCTCACCACCGATGGAATTAACTTCATGGTGAATAGTCAGGAGATTTGTGACTTTGTCAATCAGTGCCATGATCCTAATGAAGCAGCCCACGTGGTGACAGAGCAGGTAAGGAGCAGGTTATGTGGCACAGTCCCTGCAGGGATGCTGGTAAAGGGTACCTGGGGCATATGGTAGTCTCTGTGCAGCCTAGAGGGGCTGTCAAATCCCACAGGTCCTTTGAATCTTGTGGTTTAGTTGTAATGTTCCAGTGAACCTTACATTTGATTTATAATTTTGTCTTGGAAATTTTTATAATTCAACCAAGTCATTAAGTAAAGTTAATATTGCAAGGAAATATGGTATCTTTATAGGTTGACTTTGAATATTCCTTGAAATAACAGTAACAGTGATTAAATGAGAGTAATAATAAAGTCATGGAATCATCACAAGGACCCATGACATTGGCTTTCCACAGAGTAAGAAATCTGATATACTGAGGAGACCAAGTTTGCAGAACTAAGCTTCAAACCCAGTCAGCCACTGATACTGATATATTTACATAAATTCCCAGCTTCAGGAATACTCTAGCATAATCAACTTCTGTGTATTAAAAATGAATGTGGGGGAGTTGGTGATTTAACTCAGTTGGAAGAACACTTGCCTGGAAAGTACAAGTCCCTGAGTTTGGTCCTCAACTTTGGGAAGGAAGGAAGGAAGGAGAGAAAGAAAGAAAGAAAGAAGGAAGGAAGGAAGGAGAGAGAGAGAAAGAAAGAAGGAAAGAGAGAGAGAGGAAGGAAAGAAGGAAGGAGAGAAAGAGAGAGAAAAGAAAGAAAGAAAGAAAAGAAAGAAAGGAAAGAAAGAAAGAAAAAAGAAAGAAAGAAAAAATGTGTGTAGTCAAATGCTGGCAACTCGTGTCTGCAACCCTTGCTATTCATGAGGTAGATATCTGATGATCCTGATTCGAAGCTAGCCTGGGCAGAAAAGTCTGTGAGGCTTTTATCCTCAATCAGCAAAATATGATAAGACAAGGTATGACTCAAGTAATAGAGCACCAACCTTCAGCATCAAAACCAAGTGCCAGTGCCAGTACTGCAACAAAAATAAATTAAGCAAGCAAATAAATAAGTGTATGAAAAAGACCAACAAAACATAAAAAGAATGAATAGATGAGATTGAGTGGGTCAGAGATGAAATTTGAAGGCTAAGGTGGTAGCTAGTAAAATAACATATGTTAAGTCAGGCACCTAGTGGTTCACACTGTAATCTTAGCTACTCAGGAGGCTGAGATCTAAGGACCACAGTTCGAAGCTAGCTGGGGCAGGAAAGTTCATGAGATTCTTATTTCCCCCAAAAATCCAGAAGCAAAGTCATGGCTCAAGAGGTAGAAGCCTTAGCCTTGAGCAGAAGTGCTCAGGGACAGCTCCCAGGCCAAGTTCAAACTTTACAACCATCACCAAAAAAGAAAAGTAAGATGTATATTTTTCTTTTCTTTTTGCTTTTTTTTGTGGGTGCGGTGGGGTAGGTAGGTTGGCTTTGAACTTCAATCCTAGATCTCAACTCCAGAGTAGCCACGATTACAGGCATGAGCCATTGGCACCTGGCCTGCTCTGTGGGTTTTGTTGTTTGCTTTTTTGCCAGTCCTGTGGCTTGAACTCAGGGCCTGGGTGCTGTCCCTGAACATCTCCTCTTAAGATTAGAGCTCTGCCACTTTGAGCCATAGCACCGCTCCCAGTTTTGTTACTGATAGTTAATTGGAGATGAGTTTCATGACCTTTCCTTCCCAGGCTGGCTTTGGAATTTGATCTTCAGATCTCAGCCTCCTGTGTAGCTAGGATTGCAGACATGAGCTACTGGTGTTCAGCCTGGTTTGTAATTGTTAACAGTATGTTTTGATAATGGTTTTCAGTGATAACCACAACTGGTCATCTTTTAGTTCCACAGCTATTTTGTGCATTTCCAGTAGTTACATTGTGAATTAAGGAACCAAATTTAGCCAAAACGGGTGTGTGTGTGTGTGTGCGTGTGCCACGCGGTCGCACGCATTGTCAGTGCTAGGGCCTCACACTTGCTAGACAGCCAATCTACCCCTTGAACGACACTGTCAGCTGTTTTTGCCTTAATTGTTCTTCATGTAATGTCTTGGGCTTTGCCCAGGCCAGCCTCAGACCACCATCTTCCTATCTCTATTTTCTAACTAGTGGGGATTACAGTATAAATAAAAGGAGTTCAGGGACAGTGCCTAGACCCAGAGTTCGAACCCTAGGACATCAAAAAAAAAAAAAAAAAAAAAGCTATCAACAGCATGAGATCCTGAATTCAAGCTCCAGTGGTAACACACTGACACACACACACACACACACACACACACACACACACACACACACACACAATATCAGTGAGCTACCATGTATGTACAATGATAAGAGGTATGAGTCTTCTGAGAAGGCAAATGTAAAGCCCTTAGTACAAAGCCCTTAGTACAAAGCCTAATAAATGCAAAGACTTGCTATGTACTAGCTCCTAGACTGACTTTGAACCGTGATTCTCATAGCTCAGCTAGGATTATAGGTGTGAGGCTCTAGTGGTATCTTGCCCCACTGCTGTTTTTATCATCAACAGAATATGGTCATTGTGGTTATTTGAATCATCTATTCCATCTACAATTTAAAAATGTTCTGAGCATTGGCACTGGGAAGGATCAAAATCTTTTGAAATGTTTGTATTTGATTACTGGGTAAAGTCAGTTTGTTTTTCCTACAAATACAAAATCTCCATTGAAATAGACTGAATTCAAATGTTTTTCTCATTCTTCCTGGAAAATCCTGCAGGCCATCCAGTACGGTACTGAGGACAACAGTACAGCAGTAGTTGTGCCTTTTGGTGCCTGGGGAAAATACAAGAACTCTGAAGTCAATTTCTCCTTTAGCAGAAGCTTTGCCTCCAGTGGACGCTGGGCCTGATGGCTGGCTGGTATGGGCCTGTGTGATTGCTGCTGATTGTGTCAAGAAACAGAAGATCAAAATAGTCACCCAGGAGTCCCTTGGACTCTAGATAGTTGTACAGTCACTGTAAAGTTAACCATCTACATCATTGTGTGTTCATAAATACTCATTACAGCTATGTATAAACCTTAATATAAACACCATGGAATGAAATGTGCAGAGACTGGGAGTCTCTAAACTAAGCGGGCAAATGAAAAAATATGTTTGTATGTTTGAGTGTAAAGTGTGAGTGCCTGTTGCTAGTGATTGAACCCAGAGCGTTGTGCATAGTTTTCTAATTTTTATGACTCTTGGGCAGCCGTAGTGTTTTGTGATCATTTTTTATTCTCTGTTCAGTTGAACAGGTTCTTCAAGTTTTTCTGAATTTTGACAGTCTATACTATTTGCAAATATAATATTGGCAAGGGTTTTTTTTTTGTTTTCTGTATCATTTTTGTTTTTGGCTTTTTTGTGCCAGAACTGGTGTTTCAATTCAAAGCTAGGGCACTCTCCCTTAGCTTTTTCTACTCAAGACTGGCACTTTATCACTTTAGCCACACCTCCCCTTTATTTCTTTGATCACTAGTTGGATATAAGAGTCTCATGCTCTTTTCTGCCCAGGGCTGGTTCCTTTGATCTCCTTTGAGTAGCAAAGATGTGAACCACCAGCATGTGACTGCACATGTTTATAATAATTGCACCAAGGAGTAAATGTGAAAAGTAGGTTCCCTGTTATCATATTTTGTACTCTGGAACAATTGAATATAAATGTAACAATGCAAAAGAAACGTATTCAGAAAATATGACATAGCTAAATTCTGCACATATTTATAAACAGAGCCCTTGTGTATTTCAAATGTCACTACCCCCTCCCAGTTCATTCCTATTTTTCTGTACTTAAATGTGCTATGTATATGTGACGCTTTCCTTTTTCTTTCTTTCCTTCTTTTCTTTCTTTTCCTTTCTTTCTTTCCTTCTTTCTTTCTTTCTTTCTTTTTCTTTCCTTCCTCCCTCCCTCCCCCTTTCTTTCTTCTTTAATTTTTTAAAAAATGTTATTGTTAAGATGTTGTACAGTTATATGAGTAAGGCAATGAGTACATTACTTGTTGATCATTGTCACCCCTTCCCTTCCTTATTGTTGTCCCACTATTCCTGTGTCTAATCTGGGGAGGGGAAGAGGAATAACAAAACGCTGAAACAAGGACACAGGATGACCCATTACAACAAATATACCCACAGGACAGTATATTGGAAATGTTCTTCCTTCCTTCCTTCCTTCCTTCTTTCTTTCTTTCTTTCTTCCTTTCTTTCTTTCTTCTGTCCTTGGCTTTGAACTCAGGGCTTGGGCACTGTCCCTGAGCTTTTATGCTCAAGGCTAGTGTTCTACCACTTGAATCACAGCTCCACTTCCAGTTTTTTGCTGATTAATTAGAGATAAGAGTTTCATGGACTTTGCTGCCCAGGCTAACATCAAACTGCAATCTTCAGATCTCAGCCTCTTGAGTAGATAGGATAACAGGCATGAGCCACCAATGCTCAGCTGTGACTATTGCTTAAGATCAGAAAAAAATATGCAGGCTAAAGGTCTTTGGTCAAAACAATGCAAAGTTAAATACTGATAATATCAAATTATTTGTATAAAGATTCCATTTTTGGTCTGTTTTGTATATAGCATGTTTATATGTTACTTTTTGTATAGAGTAAGCAAGCAAGTTGGAAAATTTGTTTGTAAAAAATACTACATTGACACTGTTATAGACATAGCTTGAAGATCATGTCTCCATTTTTTGCTCAATTCTAAGACTTATGAGAAAGAGTATGTCTAAAACAAACACAAAATGCTCTATATTTCAGCTTACTATATAATTTAAAAATGTAAAATTATGCTTTTTAATTGCATGTAAGTTTGCTTTTAAACTGTGAATTTTAAACCTGTGTTTTAAATTCAATCTAGGGTTTATTTTTGCTGACTGTGAATTTGCTGTATATGTGATGTGTATATATGAATATCTTAAGAGTACTATAAAATGTAAGGGAACAATCTCACACCCATCTCACGGTTTCATCCGTTAGCTTTATGCTACTGATCTATCTCCAATGATGGTGGAAGTTTTCTCATGGTGAAAAATCAGTAATTACCAACAGAGGAGGTAATATACTGAAATTGGCTGTGGGAGACTCTGCTGGGTAAGTTACTTGGAAATGAGAAACAGAGCCAGCCTGTTGAAGCTGCATTGCCATGTGTCATCTGAATATTAAATCATGGCTATAAGAGGAGAACTCAATATTAAGATTGAAATAGAATTGTGGCAGCAACAAAAGAATAAAAGAATAAATCAATATAGTTGATTCCTTCAACCACAGATTTTTTTTCTTCAGAATTGACCTTGTTTTGATCCTTTTGTTAAGCTTTAAAGGTTTAAGAGAAGAGGGCCCCAGCTCAAAATAAAATTACATATTTGCTTACATTTGGAGAATGAAAGGAAACAATGCCTGGAATTTTCCTGTTATATTAATTAGAAAGTACAATTTTTTTCTTTACAAATAAGTATTTCACTTTGTTTTATCAGAGAAGTTAGTGGAAAATATTAGACAGAGTGGCACATGTTTACAATCATATCACATGGGAGTCTGCGGCAGGAGGATTGAGAACATGAGGCCAGCCTGGTCTCTTTTGCGAGAAAAATATTGCAGGAAAAAAAATGAAGTCTGCTTAGTTGTCTGTGAGAACACAAGGAAAGACATTATTCTTTCTTTTCTTATTCTTTTGTGCCAGTTCTGTGGCTTGAACTCAGGCTCTGGACACTGTCTCTGAACTTCTTTGACTCAAGGCTAGTGTTCGACCACTTGAGCTACAACTCTGCTTTCAGCCCTGTTGGTGTTTAATTGAAGAGTCTCATGGAGTTTCCTTCCTGGCCTGGCTTAAAATCATGCTCCTCAGGTCTCAACTTCCTGAATAGCTAGGATTGCAGGCATGAGCCACCAGTGGCTGGCTCTTTATTCTTTGAGTCAAATCTTGGAACAGACATATGGAAGGTATAGTTAGGAGCATGGGTTATCTCCAAAACCAATAGACAAAGGAAAACTCTGAAGTATAAACATGACCCTGTAAAGATGCATGCTTCATTGCACTACTGCTCCTCTCTGATTAAGGAGTTATAACTTAGGAGTGATGCCAAGTTCAAAGGCCTGGGGGCCATTAATGGGGTGAGCTACTAGGTTTGACAAAGGGATTTGTAGGTGGTGGTTTTGGGTGCACTTGACTCTATAATGCCTAGAAAAGCTTTTAGATGATTTCATTGGTTGATTTCTCTGTTTTTCCTTTTTCTTTCCTTTTTCTTTTTTCCTTTCCTTTTCAATCCCCCCCCCTTTTTTTTTATCTTTTGAGACTAGGCATTGCCATGTAGTCCAGGGTGATTCTGAACTCGTGATCTTGCAGGTTGGTCTTGAACTGCCTCAACCTCCCAAATGCTAAGATTACATGTATGTAACTTCACACTGTTTGACATGAAAGGAAAAAAAAATCAACCAGCCACCTTTGATTAAGCAGAAAATACTGCTATTTTTCATGCCACATTACTAAAGTATGTTGCAAAATGTAAATTACTTTAACATAAAAATAGCATACAGATTTTAGATCTGTAAGTCTGGGTTACTGGAAACTTAAAAAAAAAGGTACAAAACCAAAAGGACTAGTATAAATACAAGTTTTTAGTTAGAACTGTGAGCCATGTTATAGCCATGATGTAAATTATATAGTGCAATAAAACGTATCAGTGTACGTATGTAAACATGGAGTGTATTGCCAAACTTCAACAATTTCTTGCTGAGATATTCTTAAAATCATTATAATATTTTACAAGTTTGACTTCGTGTTTTTTAAAATGTTAAGTAGTTGTACAAAGGGGTTTCAATTCAACAAGTCAGATTCTGAGTATCTTAAGTACTTTATATGTTCAAAAGTAACTATAAGCCTGCCCTCCACCAACTGCTCCTTTTTCAGAAATTTTATGTTTCTTAGTTGCTTCAAAATGCTTTCTGGTTGTTTTTGTCCTGGAGAAAAATTCCATTTGAGAGGGATCAATTTTGTGACATGTAATGCTATAGAAATTACTTTTAAGTAAATATGTGTGTGTATACACATATATATTAATATGTGCAGGACCAGGCTTGCAATCAGGATTTTGTTCTCTTGGCTTTTTCAATCAACACAACTCCACTTTCAGATTTTGCTGGTTAATTGGAGATAAGAGTCTCATGGGCTTTTCTGCCAGGACTGGCTTTGAACCGCAACTTTCAGATCTCATCCTCATGAGTACCTTATGGCTGCCGGTATAAGCCACCAGGACTCTGCTTAATTTTTTAATTTTTTAAGTACCTTAACAGAGAATGAATAGGCTTTTGCTAATTCTTCAATATCAGAACATTTAGTTTCCTTTCTCAGAAAGATGTGGATTTAATTTCATGGTATTTTAACAGTACATAAATACTTCAAAGTAGGGTCTGGAGAGTTAAAGTCTAATATAAAAAGTTAATATTTCCTTTAGCTCCAAGTTTCTCATCCACTTGTGTCCATAAGACAAAGAGACATGAAATTTCCTTTTATGGATGCCAATCAGAAATAAAAAGTCATGTCTTTACAAGGTGAGTAAACCAAATTGTGATGGCCTGCTTGTTGCTTTTGGCATCTGGTCTGTGACTAATTGATTCTCTGGCAGCTTCCATCAGATGTTAGATGGTTGAAATGGTTCATGGGTGTCATACTTCATGTTTCAGGTGGTGAGGTTCTAGAAACATCCCAATTCTAAGTACAATTAATCTACCATTGGATTCCAGTACAGAATTGATCAGTCTGGTACATCCCAAATTAATTTTTCCTGAAGTGCTCTTCTGTTCATTTGCTTTTGTCATTTGCCAAAGTTACATGGTATGTAGTAAGGAGATGTGTTACTTTGGTGTTTTAAATGTATATGTTTAACTGTGAACAATCTAAAGTCCATGCATCTTGGTATTGAAAGAATCATTCTAATAAAATACATGCATTAAGCACTTTTTAAAATCTATCTCTGTTTTTTTGATATCCAGGCTATCCAACATGTATGTATGTATGTTTGTATGTATGTATATGTAGTTCTATAAATATGGAAAAAGTAAGATCCAACGAATACTTAGATGGGGGAAGGCCTTGAACTCAGGGCCTCATACTCTTGCTTAGCTTTTTTACTCAAGGTTGGCACTCTACCACTTGAGCCATAACACTATTTTCCACCACTTTGCTAGTTAATTGGAGATAAAAGTCTCTTGGATTTGTCTGTCTGGGCTGGCTCTGAACTGTGGTCCTTAGATCTCAGCTTCCTGAGTAAGCAGGATTATAGGTATAAGTCACTGCTGCCTGTCTTAAAGATTTCTGTGTGTGTGCGTGTGCGCACATGCACATAGACTGGTCCTGGTGCTTTAACATAGGCCTGGGTGCTGTCCCTGAGGATTTTTTCGCTCAAGGCTAGCACTCTACTACTTGAGCCACAGCTTCATCTCTGGCTTTTTTGGGTGATTAATTAGATATAAGAGTCTGATCGTCTAGCTTCGAGCTGTGATCCTCAGATCTCAGCCTCCCCGATAGCTAGGATTATCGTAGAATTATAGGCTTGAACCACTGGCACCCGGCTGAAAAGTTCTTCTAGTAATAAAATTGTGACTGTTTGCCAATAAAGTAAAAAGGCTGTGGTGGGATAAATATACTCTTATTTGCTCAAATCTTTTGCTTCTACCTAAAACGTAGTTTATCATTTTCATTTCATCTCCCAAAATGTTTCACAGTGCCTCAGAGGGAAAAAGTAGAGATGGCTTCTAGAATGATTTGCCTGTATGCTAAATTTTTTCTGATGCATTTCATGGAACCATCTCATTAATAGAATAAAATTATAAACAGATGTCTAGCAATGAGGCTACATAATTCAGCAGACCCCTGCCATACATTGGAGACTTAATTCCTTTTTGTGTATTGGTACTGAGGTTTGAACTCAGAGCCTCTCTAACTCTTAGTCATCTTTTTTGCTCAAGGCTGGCACTCTACCACTTGAGCCACATTTCACTTCCATGACACAGTTTTAAGGTTGTGATGAATTCAATAAAATATAACTATTTGCACTTCTTAAGTACAAGGGCCTTTGTCCAACGTGGCCCCTGGAGGAAGCGTGGTAAACTTAACAATGGAATGTTTACTATGTTTAGCAATGAGATGCAATCATTAATATTTATGATTTTACTTTAATGTCTTTTCTCTTAAGGGAAAAACAGACCTTAGGTATTTAAATCATTAAACACAGTATAGTATTTAATATGAAGGGTTGATATTTCTCCTTTAGTGTTTACTAGACAATGATTAGTCCCACCTGTGTAAAGTATACATTAGTATAAATATGGTTCAGATCCTTGTTCCGAACTGTATTTACAAACAATCAGGCTGGGGGCATGGCTTAGCCTAGGACAAGGTCCTAGATTCATATTGGTTATGAGTCTTACAGACTTATTCCTGCCCTGTCTGTCTTTGAACTGTAGTTCTCAGGTCCCCTGAATAGCTAGGATTACAGGCATGAGTTATCAGTGCCTATCTCAATAATTTTTTAAAAAGCACTTATAGACATGACTTGAGATGTGTGTGTGTGTGTGTGTGTGTGTGTGTGTGTGTGTTTTAATCTAAATCCTGGATTTAATCCAGGACCTGGCACACGCAAGGCGATCAGGCTCAGTACAATAGAAGCAAAGGGCAAGGAGAGAACACAATATAAGCAGCCTGAGATCAAAACAAAAGTCAAACTCTCAGACATGGCATGGAGCTGCATTTCTGTCCACCACTTCCACTATCATCCACTTCTCAAGTCACTTCACTCAGCTGAGAACAGATAGAGAGTTAGGTGACAAGAAAATCAGGAAACAAAAATAAAAAATCAGAGATTGGGACAAAAACAGGAACTACTGAAGTTGTTAGAGCCGCAAGATTGAGCTAACACTTCAAGAAAAACATGCATTTCCATTCTATTACACTTGCCACAAGTGTAGCTATGGCTCAACTGGGAGAGTGCTGGCTGAACCCAGGACCTCACCCTTGGCTAAGCCATGTTCCCAGCCTGCTTTAACATCTAGAGGAGTCCAGATGTTAAAATGGATTGCAATTTCAAGAGAAGGATACCAGAGTCCAAAATTGAAGGTGCCCCATTTGGAAGTTCTTCCACCAAAAAAGAATGCTCAAAGAATCCCACTGGCTACACCTGCCACTCATTTGCTGATAACTCACAGCTGTGAACTGCCTGAGCTCCAATCCTAAATACCCAGACATGTCAGCAAATCTAAACCAGAGTTCACACTCAAACCTGTTCTCAATTTGACTATCTGAATGTTTGGCAATGACTCCCACTCAGGTCCTTAACTCCAAGGAACCAACCTTCTCTCCTTGTAGTCTATAATTTATCTCCTTTGTTCCATCCTCATTACCACAAAGTAGTTGCCCAAGTGACATGCCTGTCTCTGAGCCAACCCCAATTCATTTTCCTATGCTAAGCACAGAATGCTTCCTTGAACTTTCTTTCCATTCTATCTTCCAGGTAAAATGAAAACTTTAGTATTTCCTTAAGGTCTGTCACTTGCCACTGCTCCAGTGTAAATTCTTTCACCTCCTACATCTTTCACTTGTGTTCCCTGTGTGGTTGGGGGTACTAGAGCTTAAACTCGGGATCTATGCTCTGTCCACAGCTCTACTCCTGGCTTTTTTGGTAGTTAATTGGAGAAAAGATTCTCCTGTGGGGCTTGGAAGGTGGCTCAGT